TGTTAAAAGGCTGTAGACCGGGGTCGGCAACATTTTTGGGCACAGTGCCAAAAACACCCACAACCTCTACTTGTAAGATGTTGGCATGCCAGGGGTGGGCAGCAGGGGAACCAGAAAGGGCCTGATTTTTGTTGTGACAGCGCAGCCCCAGCCCCTTCCCTGAGGCACACATGCCAAGCAAAATGCCTTCACCTGGCACGCATGCCAGGGGTTACCTACTCCTGCTATAGACACACAGTTCTCTCTCTTCCCATTTAGTGATTGTCTTCTTTAAAGCCTCTTTTGTCTTGTCTCTACCAAGCTTGCTTTCCACCAGTTTGATTCCTAATTTGTATGATTATTCTACAGTTGTTTCGCAGCAGTTCCATTTGGCAATCCTGGCTTCCATGCTGCCCTTTATTAGCCAAACAATGTACAGAAAATTGAATAGCCACAAAGTCATTATTTCTAATTTCACTACAGTGAAGCGTAGTGTAAGAACTCAACTCCTTGCCATTGTGACCAGGCTAATTCTTCTGTTTGGATTGGCTATTGAGTTTACAATGTTTAAACCATCTCTCCGCAACAAAAATGTTGTTAAAATTTTAGATGAACTGGGAGATTACAATATTTACATGAAAGAGAAAAAAACCCCAAAGCAAAGATAATGGATTTGTAACATATTGAAAGGGAAATTAGTGTCAAAGTCATACCTCCTGTAAGCAAGTACTATCTCACTGATCTAAGTGTTCCTTTAAATCTCTAGTATTTGAAACTTACCATTTAGAAGCAACCAGGCACTCATGCTTTCTAGGGAAGTTTCAAGTACCTATTTTGCTATGTAATTTTGTTGTTCTTCTGGGTTTTTTTCTCTGTACAAAAATTTTCTAACAAAATATATGTATATTTTGTCTAGATAAACCAAGGACAAGAGACTTTAGAATAAACTATAAAAGTACAAGTGAAATTTATTTTTGAATAACATATATAGCTCTGTGTGCGTGTTTCTCTATTGATCATATCTAATAAACAGAGTGTACAGTTTATTGCATTTCCCTAGGCAACAATCCACATTTTCTGCGGTTTGGTCTAATGATGCAGCTGTGGAGCAAAAGGCTCCATACGGCCACGTTTCATGTCCCTTTTGTTTCAAGCTCATAAACAAAAGAGAGCTGTTTTGCTCCAAGGAATGTCACACAGTAGTTAGGTCTGGGCCAAACTGGCTTCTTGGCCAGCAGAAATTCAGAACCACCCTGGGGCAGACTCCAAGTGCTGTGACTCCCTGAACTGTTCTCTGTTAGGAAGCAAATCACACAAACAAGTAGGCCATCCAAACTATTTCCCTATCCACCTTGAATGCTGCCATTGATTTCTGCCTCTGCCAGAGTGACTGATGTGTGTGGTTTTTTAGCTTCCCAGAGAGCCATCTACAAAAAGTACTTATTGATTGGACCATCTTGGGATAGGGTGGTGGAGTATACTCTTTAACACAGCCTCCTGCACTGCAAAAACAAAGCTTCCATGAATTAATGGCCACCTTATTTGAAAAATACTTCAGTAATTTTTGGAATGTAACACTGGAAGACCCCCACCATTGCTGTTTTCATGATAAGTCCTTGGAGCTAATGAGCCTTCTTGATAAGAAAACATAAATATTTACAAGCAAAACACTGTTTTGAGTCCAAACTAGCAGGAGGGAAAATACTGGGTTCTTTCAGCAGATGCCATGCTGTTAAATGCTGTAGTATCTGCAGGAATCGTAGTCACTTCTGTGCCAAATTGCATTTGTGGACAGCATGTAATTTTCAATTTTATGGTCACATAAAAATATACAAGACAGTGACCATCATCAAAATGCTCGGCTAATTGGTCTATACAATCAACTGTATTAGGAACAGTACACTATCACTTAAGTGGTATTGTCACAAGTTGAACTTTGAAAAAGGAGGGGGGTAACTGAATGAATACACTTCCAGCATATTAAAAATGCCTTGGGATATTCCTTAGGGTCTTTGCTGGGAAGCTTTCAGAAAAAACGGAGTTTGGTTTGGCACGCTGAATTGAGAATACACATTTATTTTAGCAAGCAAGCAACCTGACTGGATCTGTCCTGTCCAACAGCTTTGGAATTAAAAGATCAGATCAAATTAATCAATCTTTGGGTATTTAAATGTCATTTCTTAACTGAGGCAGGGACAGATGGGAAGCAGTTAATTATAGTAACTCGAAACACTTGTTCTATTTGATCTACAGTACATACAGTTGTTTTAATTTTAGTCCTCTGCTTATAATTTGCCTGGTTCTATATATTGTTACACCATGAAAATCCCAAATAGTTATTTGTGTTTTGAACTCATGATTAGTTAACCCAAAACTTGGGAGATGCTGAAGGTTGAAAACATGCATGAACCATGAGTGTCACAGGTGGCATGGGCAGCTTGTGTATGTGGCATGAGGCAGACTAGAGAGGGGACAGGCAGCATGGTGGTAGGAAGCAGAAAGCTGAGCAGCATATCAGGTAGGGGAAAGGGATTGGAGTGGCACTTAGGGAGGGTTCAGGGCTAACTTGTGGCACACCTGCCAGAAAGGCTAGCCCTCATGCAACTAGGACACAAGTATTGTGATTCTGGGTCTGAGCTGTTGTCCATCCTTTCTCTGGCTGTGACTAACATAACTTCCCTAGAAAAAAGGTGCAAAAAAGCATGCTATCCAAATGAGGCATAATCTGCCTCATTCTGATCTCTCGTAGAGATTGGCTTAAACTCTGGGCCATGAAGTTATAGTTCCATTTAACTGCTTTTCTTGTTATCAGGAGTTATAACATCATGCTATTCTTCTTACCTTTCTACATGTTTAAGACCTCTTGGAATCACGTTGCAAGTTTCTCAGTGTAGTGAACTCGTCGTTTTTTAATCTTAAAAAGAAAAAGAAAAAATGCAGAAGCCTAAGAAGGTATTGCTCGAGATGATGACTGCTTCAGCTGTGCTGCTGCTTTCCTTGCTGTTGCTCTCTATAACCTAACCTAAACTATGTCTCTTTACTGTAATTCGGGGGAAAATACACTGATTTATGCATATAATGTATAATTAAAACTAAAGATTTCAAGACCACTGGAGTCACAAAGTAGCCTAGGCACATGTCTGAGATCCTGGTGGCTTCTGTGACTGACACACTAAATGGGGGGCACAATTGAAAGCATCACCTGGAGTTACAGAATAAGTTGAATTTGTGGACCCAGCTCTGCAGCTGCGCTGAAGATTTTGGCAAAGAGAGTGTGCTACAAGTGACATTGTGGGAACCAGGGTTCGTGAGGTACTAGGCTGCCATGATTTAAAAACGGCACATGGGAAGTGGTTATATATAATAGAAACCACTCCAGCAGGTCTCCTCCAGTAGAGGATGGTGCTGTGTAGGGGAAGGTCACGTCATGACTGGATCTGTGGGTGTTAGAGCCACTAAAAGGGAAGATTTAAAGCCTTTATGGTGATGAAGCAGGGGCTGCTTTCTTGGGATTTCTTTTCAGGATCTACAATAGTGGGCATGGCCTGGTGTATTCTAAAGCTACAATTATCTTTCCTTTCAGAGATGCCTTTACAGACCTGATCTAAGATAAAAAGTTCCTGGTAGGAATGGCTGAATATCATGCATAGATAGATAGGGCTGAGCTCCATCAGGAGGGCCAGCCTGAGCAAAGCTGGGTTTACCTACAAAGCCATTTGATTAGCCCCAAACTGAATGTGCAGACTGTATTCCTATGATACTCAAGCCAGTGCAAGATGTAATCATGAGAAGATAAAATGGGGGGCGGAGGGTACCTCATAAAATCATCTAGTCCAACTCCTCCTGCTGTAGTCAGGATCACCTCTATCTAAACAATCCCAGGCATGTTTTTGATTAATCTGCATTTAAGAACTTCCAGTGATGGAGATTCCACATCTCCCTGAAGCTGTAGCGTAGGAGTGGGGCTTGGTACCACAAGCACAGGATTGTGTTCAGTGATGGGACAGTCAGAAGTTATGTCTGGAGAGAGGTGGAAGCTTCAGGTTAAGCAAGGGAAAGGTAAATTTCTGATGGACCTTAGTGAAAAGAGAGCTATGATCATTACATATCTCTGTATGATCATTGCGTATCTCTCAGTCTGCACAAGGCTATTTGTGCTGAACATCACACTGACATTTTGACCTGACTGAGACAGGGTGAGGCCTCAGCAGCTAGGAGTCCCCTGCAAATCCAGGTTTGGCAGCCTATTCTGACCTGGGGCTCATGCATCTTCATTCATCCAGGCTCTGCTACAGTTTATTCCCTTGGCATATCTGCAGTCAGTGTGATTTACAGATTTTAAATGTGTTTAGGAACCTCAATCCTATTGACTGGAGAGTTGGGTATCTAAAATACTTTTTAAGAACCTGCCTCTTGGGAACCACAAGCAATAGTAGTCATTGAAAGTGGTTCACTGCCAGGGATTTTTTTTTTTATTCCCAAGGCAGAAAAATGAAATTCAGCTAGACTCTTTAAGTGACAATATAAGCTAAGTAAGCAATTTAGTCTTCCTGCACCTTCAGATAATTTCTGGAATTAAATCAGCAGTATCGATGTTATTTGCTTGCACTATTACACAGCTGTAGACAGCTTTTTGCCAACACATCATCTCAAAATTAATATATGCCAGCCGAAAAGATTTATTTCTAGGAAAAAAATTTGCAAAATATTGCAAAGACTGAATTAGCAGCTGGATTTTTTCTTTCTACCTTCATAGTACAGAAATTTATTGGTAAAGTTTATCCAGGTATTTTTGACCATGGATGGCGCTCCAATGTTGTACAAACATGTGCAACTAAAATAGTTTTAGATTAGGGTAAAAAAAAATCAGATTGGTGTGCTAAGTAAGTGACGTTCCTTTCCTTATCCTCCACCCTCTTTAAACAGTGCTGCTATTTTACAGCAATAGAAACCCATTCAGATTTTTGCAACTGACTCAGCTATAGACCTCTACTAATTTAAGAGAAAGAAGAGGGAAGAGAAAAGGTAATTTCCACAGTGAAAATTAAATGGCCACAAAACAAAATAATTCTAAGGCATTTACTTTCATGCCAATACAAGTGATCTTTTGAATTTATGCCACTTAAAATTTCACTCTTATTTATAAATTTCACTATTTTTTAATATTTGTAATTTTTTACAATTAATTTTTAAGGACATGTAAAATTCTTGTTTGGCCTTTGCTGAAATTGAGGCACTGCAACATACTTTTTGGTGTACAATAAAACAATGTATTTTGCACAAATATTGATGTGTTCTGATACATTTCAGTTGTATAGATTATATTTCAGAAACAGGAATAACAACTTGCAGGGAAGATGAAGTTTATCTTTATTGGCTTAGTTTTCTTCTGCATGCTGATGAACATGTTAACAGGTAAGTACAGTGCTATAGTTATCTTCCTTTTTTCCAGCTCTTTTAAATGTCTTGCTCTGTATGTTTTGACTTACATTTGCTCTCACATATTATTTGTATATCAATCACACTTGTCTTTGTTACCAGCAAACAGTTTTCAGTCTATGCTACTGAGTAACTATAAACAGCGAATTCTTTATTCAGCTATTTCAAGAAACAGAAGTTGAGCTGTCAGTATGCTCCTTCCTGTGCACTGTATGTATGAGTATGTCACATTGCGTGCTTTAAAGTAGCTCTTTGTACACCATAAATCCTCCCATCTGTGCTCTAATATTGATTAGTTTCTTGTTTATTTATAGATGCTTGGCCGATCCAAGATGAAGATGGTAATTCTTTACTTTTTTACATTCCAAAAAACCTGAAGAACCACTTGTAACTCTGATCCAAAACCCAGTAAAATCAGTGAGGACTTCCATTAAACTCAGCAGGCTTTGGATAAGATCCTCATAGAAATATTTCCATCTGTTCTTTACAGAACAAGATATCAGAAGGAGATACAAAAATATTATTTTAAGCAACTCATTCAAACAATAGACATAACATCTATAAAAATGCACAATAGTTGATGTGTTGAAAGAAAAACAGCACATCTGACCCGAAAAAACAAACAAAGTCCGATCAAATTGTGTATTGTATAATGCTACCATAATTGAGATTGTTAAATTTATTGGGCACCCAGGCCCCTCTTGAGGTATTGAATCATACTAGTCATTTTATATTATTCTAAAATACGTGTAATCTTATTGGCAAAAAGAAAAATCCAGCTTCCAGAACAAAAAGGTTAAAAGCAACAAATGCTCAGAAAGTCAATTTAAAAAAGAAATACAGGAACAGGTCTTCAGACAGTTTTGTTTTTTCACCAGCTGAGGATCTTGCCTGTAGCATTAAAAGTTTGTCTTTGCCTTTAAAACCACCAGTTGCTAACATTTAAATTGGCTTGCTGATTGATGCTTTGGATAGCAGTTTCTGAGGACAGCCTGGAGAAGTTTTGTAGACCACATTTGCCTAAATTTTTGTTGAGAACAAAGAGGGACCCAAAAACTGTTAAATCTGTATAAAGTACCAGGTCTGCTGATATGTGAATATGAATAAATAGCATAAGAACTAAGAGTATCCTGGATGTACTGATAGATGGTATCATAACATCCCATTGAAAACAGCAATCCCCAAAATGTGAACCTGGGAAGGGCATGGGAAGAATTTTAATTTATGTGTTAATTAAAAAACAAATTATTTTGAAACTGCCTGCAACAAACCTCATGATCTTTTCTTGCTTGCACCTTGGAACTCATGTTTGGATATTTCTTTTTCAAACAAATGCAGGTAACTGGGAAAATGAAATTTTTTTCTGATGCGACATCTTAGTTTAACCACCATGTGAATGCATTTCATAGGATAATAATAAACTTTAACCTGGGTGATATATTGGTTTTACATTTTGCCTAGAATCTGGTGCTGTGAACCTGCAGGTCAGCTAACACAAGCAATGCACTCTGTTCCACAGAAAGCAGTGGCTAATTCATTTAATATTATTATGCACCATCTGTGACTGCACTGTAAATTTAAGCCTGTGAAAATGGGGCCTGGGGTAAGTGCCGAGCATCCCTAATTCTTGGTAAGAAGCCTAATCCAAAGCTATAAAAATCAATGCAAAGAATCTTATTGATTTCAGTGGGATTTAAGCAATGCCCAAACACTGTGGGAACACAGCTCCTGATCCAACTGGGCCCTGAAGCAAATAACTAACATAATGCTTGTTTGTAGTGGTTTAGGTAAGTTCCACATGTGTTTAAGTGCTTTATTGCATTGGGTACCAAGAGTGCTCAGCATCTGGAGGTTTCAGCCTCCCTAAACTAGCAGCTCAAGTCCAAATTAATTTATTAATGACCTAAAAAGACCCCTCAAAATCTGGCTCCAGCCAAGTGGGAAATTCTTGTTGCTGCTGTTGGAGAGTTTTTCTCCATCTCTTTAGTTTTTGTTTTCCAGCACCAGCAGAGAAGAGATGTAATTTCAAGGTTTCAGATTCCTCCAAGGCATCTCAGACCCCAGCCCTGGAATGGGATCTCCCTCAAAGTGGGGCCCTGTTGACTTCAATGGTGTCACCAAAAGGATCCACTGTAGGATCAGGGTCTCAAACTTAGCCTGCAGCTGCTCCCCTTCATCCCCATGGCAATGAAGCCTGTGCCATGCCAGAACCCAAAGTCAAATCAAGGTTGTTAATGCTAGCATGGACAAGCAAGGACATATGCTCTTTTGTTCATGTTGTTTAGGGGGAAAAAGTCCCCATGTGGGTTTCTCTTACTGACAGGAAGAATGACGTTTGGCTGGCAGTGGGAGGGAGAGCACGTGCAAGCAGGAGAACAGGGCACTGCTTAGTGCTTTGCTCCTGGAATAATTTCCAGTGAGCACAGGAGAAGCCATTCACGTTTGCAGAATGATATGTTTGTAGTGAAAGGTTCTTGGAAGGCCCAGCCACACACAGCCATAAGATGCCACTGATTTTTTTAAGAGCATTTTCCTAATGTTTGTATTTCTCTTTGAATTGTTCTGATACTGAATACAGAATTTCCAGGTACAACTTACAGTACTTCTAAGTTGTAACAGCAGTACTTCACATGCAGTGCAACCCCTGAAGGGCAGTGAACATTTTACAGAATGACATGAGCTGGATTTTTGGGTTTCCTATTCCTCTACTGGAGAAAGGAAAGGTGGTGGAAGAAGTGAGGAGAGATGGTAAAGGGGGTTTAAAGCCACTTTTTGTGCCCGTTTTTGTTGTCTGCTTGGTGCCCAGCCAACCAACCTGCTTCTTGTTACAATAAACTAATTCTGCAATATTTATTTTAGATCCCTATCAAGTACCTGCCTCCATGCCCTACTGGCCTTTCTCGTCCAATGATTTCTGGTCATATGTGGAGTATTTCCGGACCCTGGGAGCATACAACAGAATCAATGAAATGGCCAGAACCTTCTTTGCTCACTACCCTATTGGAAATGGCCTTGGTTACCACATGCCAGCTCATGAACATTAGTGACTTTACTCATTTTGCTAATGCAAATGATGAGCTTTTTAAAGGAATGTACTACTGCCTGTAAACTCGTGAATTGCCAGTTCAGTCACTTCTGTCATTTCTATGCTTTTTAACTGTTTGAGTACTCATATACTGTATAGTATTTGCTTTTTTGTAAAATTGCTGATGATTTTAGTGTAGTTTATATTTTTAATACAACATATACCTTTGTGCAAATATAATAAAAAGGTCAAACTCTGATGCTGCTGTGCTTTTTTTTCTTTTAAATACCTTTATATTTTGAAATGTACAAAAAGTGACCATCGTGTCATTTCTCGACACTGACAGCAGACAGAGTAGCACCATTGCACAGCAAGGGCTCTCTACCAGCAATACTTTGCTGCCAGCTCCCGCATCTTTTAAAGTGAGATTCTATGACCCTGATCCTGCACTATGCCCAAGTTCAGCTTTGGGAAGCATGAGTTTGGCTTCCTGATTTAGTGACACCTGGATCCTGCTGTGTATGTTGGTGCAAAAGAGATCCTGCCTCTCTCGCTCTCCTTTTTTTTTGCTGCTAGCACTGGTAGCATAAAATCCTGCACAGCAGCAGAGAATCAGGTACTGCAGTTTTGCTTTACCATACTAGCTCCTACCCTGGCAATGCCCCAGCATGCCTTCAGCTCTGCCCAACATGCCTCCTGCCCTTTTTGTTGATGTTAGAGGCCAACTGGCATAGGCAAGGAAAACACTGCCTCCATGAGCCGTCTACAAGTGAAGAACTCTGCAGGGAATTACTGATCAGTTCAAGACCACTTTGCACTGTGTAGCTGTGGCCTTAACAGAATGGACAATCTAGGGTCAATAGCATCCACTGGTCCCTGGTATCCTAGTGGGAGACAAGAGGAGGTCTCACAGGTGGTCAGGATCCAGGGGAGGTTTGTGTCTGCTAGTCTTCCTTTTCCTTAATTTTAGTCCCCTACATGTTAAAGTGAAGTCTTTGCCAGCACTGATTAAACTACTCATCACTATTGCACTAGTAGCCACAAACAGAGAACCTTTTTAGAGGTAAGAGACAGCTCAGGACCTGATTTTCCACTGCTCTCCCTTTGAGTAGTCATATACCTCTAGAAAGAATGGCTGTAAAGTCCTGCCTTTCTCATTTGGTAATATTTTTACATTTACTCTGTG